GGCCATGATTTCATTCTTTTTTATTTTTTTTGAGATGGAGTTTCGCTCTGTAGCCCAGGCTGGAGTGCAATGGCGCGATCTTGGCTCACTGCAACCTCTGACTCCTGGGTTCAAGCAATTCTCCTTCCTCAGCTTCCTGAGTAGCTGGGCTTACAAGAGTGTGCCACCAGGCCAAGCTAATTTTTTGTATTTTTAGCAGAGACAGGGATTTTTGGCCAGGCTGGTCTTGAACTTCCAACCTCAAGTGATCCACCCACCTCGGCCTCCCAAAATGCTGGGATTACAGGTGCAAGCCACTATGCCCAGTCCCATTTTATTTTTTTGATACTCATTAACCATCCCACTTCCTCCCATCCCCCCACTACCCTTTCCAGCTTCTGATAACCACCTTTCTACTATCTCCATTAGTTCAACTGTTTAAATTTTCAGCTCCCACAAATAAAAGTGAGAGCATGCAAAGTTTGTTTCTCTGTTGAGCACTAACTTCTTTTTTTTGTGATGGAGTTTCAGTCTTGTTGCCCAGGATGGAGTGCAATGGTGCAATCTCAGCTCACTGCCACCTCTACCTCCCGGGTTCAAGCAATTCTCCTGCCTCAGCTTCTCCAGCAGCTGGGATTACAGGCATGCGCCACCATGCCCAGCTAATTTTGTATTTTCAGTAGAGACAGGGTTTCGCCATGTTGGTCAGGCTGGTTTCAAACTCCCAACCTCAGGTGATCCGCCCACCTTGGCCTCCCAAAGTGCTGGGATTATAGACGTGAGCCACCACACCTGGCCAGCACTAACTTCTTAATTATCTTGCTTTCTTTTTCTTCATAGCATTTCTCATTACCCAACATGAATGGATTCTACATATATTCAGTTGTTTACTGTATGTATACCTCAATGAACACTGGGGTTTATCTGTGTTCTCACTGGCCTTCAATTTCAACAGTGAGAGTATACCCTAGAAAGATGAATGAATGGGTTCAACCAGATGTCTCTTCTATATGCAATCTCTATTGCATCCTGCAAGTAGGCAATTAAAGCCCACAATTA